TTACTCATGAGCATCCACGGCTGTTCTGGTTCTGTAGCGCTGCAGGAGTGTACATGACAGCAACTGCAGAAAAACACCCAGAAGCCGGTCCAGAGGGCGACTGCAGCCGTTAACAGACGAGTGTGTTGTGTTCAGGTACCTGGAGTTCCAGCGGATCCCTCACACCGAGCCGGTGGAACACGAGTTCCGCTGGGGTCAGCGGGCCGAAGCCGAAGTGTCCAAGGCCAAGATCCTGGAGTTCATGGGTCAGGTGAGTGTCTGAGCCTTCAGCAGCCACTTGAGTCCGACAGAACGGTTCTGACCACGACGCTTTGCCCTCAGCTTCACGACCGGGACCCCCAGAGCTGGACTCAGCAGTACAAAGAAGCCCACTCCAGCCAGAACTCCAGCCAGCAGGCCGGCGGCAGCAGCCAGAGATGACCGGAGCAGCTCCACACTCGACCCGCCTTCAGTCTATTTATTCTGGGTCAAAGAGGCGCTGCAGCGGTCCGGTCGGGTCACTTCTGAGCCTCATCAGTACAGCAGATAGACACATGACATTTAGGAGGAAGAACACATCTGAGTTCTGGTAGAACCTGACACCAGATCAGTTCTACGTCCATCCAGGTGTCTCCGATGAATTTGACTAATTTTGGATCATTTTTGTGTATTTTTCTGGACGACTTTCACGTCACTTTGAACGATTTTTGGAGTTTTTTTTTTGACAATTTTCTGGTACTTTGGACAATTTTCACATCGTTTTAATCAATCTGTGATTCTGGACGACTTTAACGTCATATTTAACTATTTTTAATGAAAAACGCATTTGAGTTCTGTTTAAACTCCATCCAGCGTCTGAAGACCAGAACCCTGGACGAAGTCATTTAGGACGACTTTCATGTTGTTTTGAATAATTATTTGAATCATTGTGAATATTTTTGAGTGATTCTAGACATTTGTATCGACTTTTTCAACATTTGTGCATTAAAAGAAATAAATTTGGGGCCGTTTTTGTGTCATTTTAGACGACTTTCGTGTGGATGACTGGACCTGGTTCTGTTCATGTCCTCTGTAAGCAGCTGGTAGCATCAGTATTATGGGATGTATCGTAGTGTGAACAGACTGCAGCAGTTTAACGTCGGTACCTTGGATGTGTTCTCTGCTGTTTAAAATGATTCAAAAATTGTCCAAAACTTCACTGAAATAACAAAACACTGTAAAATCATTTAAAACCTGCCAGAAAAGACTCAGGAAGGAACCAAAATGGGGTAAAAAAAAAAAAAAACAAGTCCACAATCATTTGAAAATTGTCCAAACTGAGCCAAAAAATACCTCCAACTCGTTTGAATTGTTCTGGAAGTTTCCCAAAACGTCCCAAATAAACCAAAACATCTCAGAAACGGATCCAAAATGACTCAAAATTTAACTTAATTAACAACAGCTGCTTTAATATTAGTCTTAACAGGTCATACGTTTGTTAAAATCAACAAAAAATACACCAAAAAAAAAAGTCTACAACAACTTGAAAACTGTCCAAAAAAATTATTCAAAAAATGTGCAGAATTACTAAAATATAATCTGATCATTTTCTAATATATTCTGATTTTAAACGTCAGAGTCGGACCCTGTTTGTACTTGAAGGGACGTAACTCTGGAAATATTCACAGAACGAAGGTGAAACTGATCAAATAAACTGAAGTTCCTCCAGATAGAGTCCGGCTCCGGCTGATCTTTGTCTTTTCTTTAATTTATCTGTTTTTTAAATAAGCTGCAGCGTCTCTTTAAACTCCTGCTGCTTCACATCCTGTTGACTCATTTGTATATTAAGATTTTTTTAAAATAAAATTTCCAGCAAACAAGAGTTTCTGTTCAGATTTTATTTCCTGGACCTTCAGGTGACAGTTCACAGAATCAGACACTTCACACCAGTGATCGCTGTAGCCGACACGATTGCACATTTACACAGAGGGAAGCGTTTGAGCTACAGATCCGACACCAGCGATGAGTTAAAGGTTCTAAAAGGTTCTGACTCGACTACGTGCATTTACAGTGGTGTGCTGGCATCCCGTTAAAAACAACAAAACAAAACGAGGTTCCCCTGAGGATGTTCTCTATTGCTGCCTCGGGCGACACCGAAGCCTTCTGGTATCATGAATCCGTCCGTCACTACGGTAACCGCTGTGTGAACGGACACGTTGGAAACGGGTCAGAATTAGTCAGGTGGGTACCATAGTCGTTATGAATGACCTGAAATGTGTCCCAAAGGACCTGGAAACAGTCCAGAATGTTAAAAATAAAAAAGAGTCTCAAACTCGTCTAAAAACGAGTTGAAATATTTCTAAAATGACTTGATGTGTCCAAAGTGATTCTAAATTCGTCTAAAATGACTCAAGTGAGCAAAAATTTGTCTTAAAAATGCTTAAAAACGCTTGAAAAAAGTCAGAAATGACTAAAAATGAATCCAAAATGGCTCAAAACATTTTCAAAAACTTAGAACAAAAAAAACTCATCCAAAGATATTTGAAATTTGTCCAAAAAGTCTCAAAATCAACTTTGTGGATGTTTTATCTGCACAAACAGCAGCTCTGAGACGTTTCTGTTTGTTTTTGTTCTAGTCGCCTCGTTTAGCTTAAAGAACATTTGCAGGTTATTTTTGGGGTTGACACAAATATATTTGCAGGACTTAATGTTAAAAAACATTATTTTCCTTCACATATTGAATATACTAATATATATATATTGATGTGATGTACTTCATATTTGAAGTTGAGTTCCAGTGAGCTGATCTGATCTCTACATTCATTTATACCCGTATCTATATATATATATATATATCTATATCTATGCCTCATCCTTCATTAAGTCCTGCTGGTCTTTGAAGACCGTCCATGTGTTGACAGAACCGTGGATCCATGATACCAGAACCAGACCTCCGATCTAAACCTAAAGCTGAGATAAACCTGATCACAACACGGCTACATGAAACAGATCATCAGGACCGGTAAAAAATAAAAAACAGATGCACCAGAAGTATTGCACCAGATCCCTCAGGTTCCTGTTAGAACGAGCCACGTCGGCGGTGGACGCTGCATAGAGTGGTCATGTCTTATTGTCATTATCATGTGAGGCACATTGTGGTGTTTGTGGGGCAGTTAAAGGGCCAGATGTTCCCTCCAGTTTTCTCTCGTTCAGCGTTTTCCACCAGAAACCTTCAGGTCAAGCCACAGTTTGGCAGCTTTTAACCAGTTTCTGTTTAGTCCCTCTGCAGCAAACACCAGCCGGCTTTCTGCTCAAATGTCAAGAAAACTCCTGAAATGTTGCAGCGGAGTTGTGAAAAAGGAAAGACACTGGTTCACGTTAGCTGCTTTGGAGCAAATAAACTGCATAGTGTGGACTGGAGGTGGCGCTACAGC